ACGATGCATTCCGCCCCGACAGCCGTGCACAGCTGGCCATTGGGGGAGCATGGGCCCACCTGCAAACCGCCAAGAAGGCCCGTCACAGTCAAAACCGAGAAGCCGGCGGTAATGGACGACACCGGCTGGGCGATGCCGCCCTCACCGTCGCCATATAGCTCCGGCAGGCACACCTTGCCGGTGCCCTTGCCAATCCGCTCCTCGATGGCCGACACGCCGCCCTTGACTCTCAAAAGCGCCTCGACAAGAGCCACCCAAGGATCGTCGGTGACGGTATCGGTGTCTCTCGGGAAGCTGGCGTTGAAGCATTTGAACGGCACATTGTCGCCTCCAGTGCCCGTGGCTGTCGGCGGTTCAGTGCAGACCTCACAATCGGCGTCGGTCTTGCAGTTGGGAAGGAAGCCGAGGAAACATGGATTGGCCGGCAGCCGAAAGGGGGCGAAGAGGGACAGGCCGTCGGTCTCGTGCTGAGCTGCATCTGATGTCGACTGCAGGAATGCGTCACCATCCCCAGGCAGGTCATGCTGCGCCGATGCGATGCCCAACAGGAGGAGGGACACAAGCAGCCTTAGTGTTACGCGCCGATTCAGTGCCATCTGCATACATATACATACACACAGACGTGTATATAGAAATCGACGGCTGCCTATGGCGCCAACGGCTGCATGCCTAGGGTTGAAGGGTTTGAATACCTGGCCGCGCAACTGGGATGACGACAAAAAGCTTGTGCCTCGCATGCACGATGCCAGCGCGACAGCTTCACAGGCTATTCCGCACAGGTACGGAGGGCAACAGAGAAGCTGACAGCCCGTCTGACAGCACTGACGGCAGACACGACACACGACGTGTTGGATGGGACAGAGAGGAGATGCGCAGATATCAAGGCAGGATGCACACGAGCACGCGCGTGTGTGGTGTTTGTTTCCTGCAGGCGTCCCGAGACGAGACGCATGGCCATCCTCGTGACGGGACGACAGGCCTCCTCTCTTCACTTCTCTTCACATGATGCCTCACCGCGGCAATCGATCTTCGTTCACTGATTATGATACATTAAGGACGTGTGAGCGGGTCAGAAGCACGTCGACCAACAGATCTGCAGCATCATTGTCACGTTGTTTTGTGCCCGTCAGATGTATCGACCCCGACTGTCCCCCGTCATGCTCAGACAGCACACTCCTCCGGCCACACTTTTTCACTCACCCGCCACTCTCGCCCGCCAACAAGCCGCCATTTCCCCTTAGCTGCCCTGTTCGCCACTGTCCAGACCAGTGCTGAGCAGCAGCCGGCTCCACCACAGCACTCCGGCGGCTTGGTGAGATTCTGTTCATTCCCACCGACCCCGGGCGCTGAGCCATTCGACCATGAGCTGTGGCTGCCCGACATGACGGAAGCGAATCTTGAAGGCATTTCCAAGGCCAGGTACGGTGTCGAGTACCTGTCGGAGGTGCCAACCAGAGGGCATCGTCGCTGGTTGGCAGCCTGTTTATCAACCTCGTGTGTGTTCATAAACCTTGGTGGGAGCCGAACTCACGCGCGAAGCCCATCAACATGCTGTTTGTCGTCGACACGACGGCGGTTTTGTCCTACTTGAGCCGATGGGCTTTGGCGGGGCTGGTAGGTGTGAGCGGCGGATGACAGCGACGAGGGGCCCGAGGGCTTGTCGGTGTCGGCAAGTGCTACCCGTCTTTCGGCACCTTTGCCCACATCAACCAACGTACGTACGCATCTCAAAACTGACTGAGGTCTTAGCTTTTGATGGGTGGGCTGATTCTTTCTCTCGTTAACTGTCTTGTCAGTGACTTGATTCATAATTCAGGTGTTGGGTATGTGGGCCTTGCAGACGCTGGAGTGGTCGCCGCTCATCGACTGGGAGCACAAAGAGTTCGTCCTGACGCCGTACGACGGGCAGACAATGCCACTCACACAGGGAGCCAAGATGGCGGAGGAGCGGGCGGCCCGTCGACGTGTTGGCTGACCGAGGCTGAATTGTTTGTGCGGTGGGTGGTGTGTCGGTGTGAGTGTCGGTGTGTGTGGTGCTTTCCTCCGTACCGCATCGATCGATGTTACTTACTGAGTTGTGGCGTTGCATCAATCACGTACGTGACTGACTTGTGTGTCGTGTCCTCCATCCCGGTCGACGTATTGGTGTGCGCCTGCCCTCTTTGTCTTTCATGTGAGTGGTGTGGGTGTGGCATGGGTAGTACACACTCGTGGGGACGGACACATGGGGTATGGGAGTGGCCGTCAGGCGGACAGAATATCCGGCCTGCACACACGACTGAGTGAGTTTCCATTAAATTAGTGAGACAGACGCAAGCGGAAAGGTGCCGCCGGTCAGGAAAATGTCAGTTCACTCCAGGCAGGTCCGTCGCGGCACACACACATGCAGACACTCCACCACACAGTCGTTAGGAGAGAGGCACGGCCAGTGAGTCAGCCAGGCAGCCACACACACTCTCACATCGGCCGGAGCACCATATCAAAATCGGCCGGCCGCGGATCGGAGCGCACAAGATGCACACTCACCCCACACCCCCCGACAGGCAGGCAGCGATGAGGACGGGAGGATATCTATTCACACATACAGACATACAGAGAGGGAGGGAGGGAGGGAGGGAGGGCTACAATCAGAGCAGAGAGACGCCACGGGCAAAAAGGCCAAGCCATAGACCGACTGAACTGACGCATGCATCAGAGCCAAGCCAGCCATTGGGTCACCCATCAGCAGCTGGTCTGTCTGTCGACAGACTGAGGGGTATGGTCGTCTTGCGCACACACAGATTGGCTACAGAGATGACGACAGCCGGCACCCAGAAAAGAGACCCTCCTGACGACAGACACGCACACACACACCAGTAAGGACAGCATTCAGTCACATGACAGAGGACGTCCGTCGCTGCTCACCCACCAGTACTGGCTGATGGATCGATCAGTCGCCGCTCTCCGCCTCAGCTGCGGCATCTTCACCCATCGAAGACACAGGACACACAGTACACACACACATGAATGAGAGGGCCTCTGTGTGCTGTGGTGCGCTCCTCTCTTGGTACCTGCGCTGCCCTCATCCATATCGTCACCATCGTCGGCATCTGCAGACCACACACACAGAGAGAAGGCACGTCATCCATCCATCCATCCATGCGTGTGTGTGTCCTTACCGTCGATGTCGTCATCCTGCTGTTGCTGCTGCTGCTATACTTGTGTGTCGAAGACGTATGACGCCACCGCCCCCAACGCCACACGAGCCAGCCGAGTGGTCACCGGGAAGCGGTGCTTGAAGGGACCACCCTCACACAGAGGCGCCTCAGTCGTGAAGACAAACACATCCACTGCACACAAGGCACAGGAGGATACGCGATGTATGACCAGCAGAGCTGCCTCTCTGTCAGTCTGACCGTTGTTGTTTCCTCATTCGCTGATAACAATCGATGCGACGAAGTTGTGGCTGTTGTCGGTGACCACCAGCCGTCGCAGATCACCGTTCAATCCGAGTGTGGTGGTGCAGCCGGCCACCGGTGTGTGGGGCGAGTCGGTCAGCAGGCCATCCAGACGGCCCCCACCAACAAACCTAAACCAACCACAGGCACACACACATTCAACGGCGCTCTCTCTTGCCTTTAGTGCTATCGGTGTGTTGTCACCTGTTCAGTGTGATCAATGTGTCGTCGGTCTGGTGAGTGGCGCTGAAGTGGCTGAGGACCATGTACTTGGCCAACGACGACACTGACGCATCGGTTTCCTGGCCGCCACCGATCGACACCCATCGGCCGTCATGGCCCCGGTAGTAGATGCTCTCACGTACCGGCGGGTCGTGTGCCTGCCGGTGCTGCCGATACAGGTGGCCGGCAGGGAGTGACTCCGAGGGGCAGGTTGACATCCAGTCGGAAGCCGGGCTCGTCTTTGATGGCCCGCACCTCACCGTTGCCGTTTTGGAACAGCTGCAGGCAGCTGTCGTCACTGAAGTGGAGGTGGCGGGCGACCATCTTGAGCTGCGCCAACACACGGGGAGCCGACACATAGGCCTACACACAGAACCACACACACAGACAGACAGACAGACAGAGAGACAGACAGAGAGAATGAGGCCCTCTCCCTCTCCTCCCCGCCCCTCTGTTTGCTGGCTCACCGTCTTGTTTGTGTGTGTGTTGGTGTCATCGGCTGTGAGGATGACAGGCAGGTCACAGTTGCCGCACTGCCCCGCCAGCTCAATCACCTCGCCGATCTCGTCCCATGGCCCCTCCTCCACCGCACACAGCCGCCAGCAGATCATGTGTGCCGAACTGGTCGTCGTCGAACCGCAGCAGCTGCACTTGCTGCCCATTCACCGCCCGCCGCAGCCCCGCCTGTGAGCCCAGCGAGTGGCGGAGCCGATCTCTCAGCTGCGCCTCTCCGAAGAGGTCTCTCAGCCACGTGCAGGTGGCCCTCAGCCGCACAATGTCCTTGATGCTGCTGAAGAGGTAGAAGGTGCGGCGGCCGACGAAGATATACGAGAAGGGGTGCTGCTGCTGCTGCTGCTGCTCTGGTGGCTGCATCTGGGTAGCTGTGATGTGCTCGACGACAGCCTGCACAGAGCGACAGAGCCGACAGAGGATCGTGTGCATCAAGCATGCTGCTCATTGATCTGTGTGCGGCTCACCTCGTTCGATGATCAGATGGACAGATCACCAGGCAGAGAAGTGATTGCTGCACCACCACCATCACCTTCAGCAGCGGCAGATGAGGATGCCGCCATCACTCCTCAACGACACGCCTGCTGCGATGAGCCGACAGACACAGAGAGAGAGAGAGAGATGCCAACGGAAGAGGACGGGGAACGCATTGAGGCCAATGGATCAGTGAGCGCCTCAGTGAGTGAGTCAGTGAGTGGTCGGCCTCTCTCACCTCTGTTTGGCTGTCAGCTCAATGGCCCGCCATCTCACCGCAGCAGCCGAGAGGGATGACTGACTCGAGTGATTCCTCTCGCCCTCTTGCCGGCCGAGTGCGGCACAGACTCTGTCAACGCACAGCTTTAGGCGGACAAAGGCTGCCAGTGGGGCTCCCTTCTCTCATAGGGTTAAAGGGTCAGAAACCCTTTGATCCCAAACCCGTTGATCCCACTCGGTCCCTTTCTCCTTTCATTCGCCACCTCCCTGACGGCCGACAGCACACACGAGATCTGCTTGTGGTGTGCCACGATGCGTGTGACACGCAGGCGCGGCGGCTGCTGGCGGCACTGACTGAGGGTCTGCGACACGCGTCGAGATGATGCATGGCGCCGTCTTTGCCGCTGTCCTTTTGGCAGCAGCAGCAGCCTCTGCATCTGCCAAATGTGCGTCGTTTCTTCCCGCACCAGCCGCCCACGAACGCGCCATCGCCCGTCAACCGAATGGACGGCTGCTCAGGACTCCCCACCATTTGCAAGCCACCACGCACGACGAAAACGTTGTTGACCCAGTCACCCACCTGGAAGCTGTAGCGGTGAGTGGGTGAACAATTCAATACACGTGAGTGTGCGTGTGTGTGTGTGTGTGTGCCAGGACCGGATGGCTGGGCGTGTTGGGCCGGCTCCAACTGATGAAGAGCTCATGCAGTGGTTCGCCGACGGGGAGGCCGCATTGGCTGACTTCATGGAGGGCAGAACGTCGAAATGGAAATATAGGTCGACAGCATTGATGAGAACCTACCTTGTTTTGCGTGCATCTGTGTGTTTGTTGCTCGCTGGTTGCAATGCAGACCGCCCATTTCTGACGAGGATCTGAAGGCTGCGCTCTCTGAGTTCTGTAGGCAATCCATACCGTGGAACCCACTCACTGTTTGGTTATCCATCTCTGTGTGTGGTATGTCGCTGTCTGTGTGGGTGGCAGATGTGCTCATGCTGTTGAAGTGTCGACAGAAAGGTAACAAAGCGAGATGAGTGAGCGTGGGCAGACAAGACACGACAC